TGGGCGTCCTGGCCCGAGCCCGGCCGTGCGCGTGGACCCACCCACTCGGGCTTCGCAATAAACTGTGCGGTGCAATCCCAGGGAGCGGGACCCGGGTCAGGACGCGGGGTCCTCGGGAATGGGCTGGGGAGGGATTCGGGTCTGAGGTGAAGCTCAACTCTCAGTCTTTGGGAAGCGCTTTCCAGGGCAAGTTGAAAACCAGTGTGTGCCGGCGCTTCTCCCCGGGCGACTGCCACATCCACCCGAGGGGGAGGGACGCGCGAGGGTCGGAAGACTTGTTAGGAGTCCATTGCCCATCAAGATCAACAACTAGTTATCGCGCAGCTTTTTTTTTTTAAATTTGGGAAGAACTTAAATAGATCCTCAATGTTAATTGAGTGTTCTTGCTACAAATGGTAGCATTTAAGCATTTTTCTTGACCACATTTACAAAAAGAAGGAATAGAGACTTCTGTAATTAAAGGGAAAAGGAAAATGAAAGGAGCTGAAAATACTGAACTGTGGAGTCCGGGTGGCTTAAGTTTGAAAACACATGAGATTATTAGGACTGCCAAACAGCGTTTCTGAGAAACCATATCACAGATTGTGGAGAAAATCAATGCTGAAAGAGTAGGAGCAGGCGCGGAACTCCTCCTTTCAAGAATCCCAGAAATAGTTGCTGAGTTGCTTTTTTTTTTATTTCTGCTGAGGATAGAAAATGACAAATTGAAAATAAAATCATTAACTATATCTTAAGCACCACTCTGTATGTCTGGGGAACTTTGGATAATGACTTTCCTTTAGATTTTGCGATGGGGAAGGAATTCATTCACATTGATACACCCTAAGTAATGGATACCATATAACTTGTATAGTACTGTATTCACCTTTTATAATGAATTACTTTTTTAAAGTTTATTAGACATTTGTAACGAATAGGCTGGTAGTTAAATTATGAAAAATGATAGTTGGTGCCATACTGAAAACAAGATTAACCAATATTCAATGAAAAGCAAATCATTTGGGCTCAGGCCAGCAATGACTTTACAACAGTTTTAAGAAAAATTGAAGTTCTGGTGAGTTATATTTTGGCAAAGCCATTTTTTTGGTTGTTTTTGTTTTTAACGTATCTGTCAATTATCTAAATAAAAGTAATTTTCTTGAAGTCATATTTGGGAAACACAGCATAGAATTCCACAAGTCATTTTAATCATCCCAAAAGATACCAAACACTTTAATCTTAAATTAGCTTAGAAAAGTGGAATGCTGATTCCCAGGATATAAAGGGTAGCTTAACTTCTCTAAACTGCCGTAAATCTCTCCTAAAAACTTAAGCCTAAGTGTTTGAGTATCTACAGAGTTATGGAGACCCTTAGAACAAGGTGACTTAAAACTGAAAATTAAGATGAACTATCTGGATAACTTAAGCATTTTAATTCTTTAGTAGAGGAAGAATCAATGTGAAGTCTTAAGGAATCATCCTGAAGTTCCTCAGATCTACCACAGTTGATAAAGTCCTTGCCCCCTGGCTGATGAGAGCTTAATTTAGCTCCCTTGAAAGACTATCCTTGACAAGGTTTGCTTTCATTGGCTTCCTAATCACCAGAGGCACACTCTCTCCCTCTAGTGGCTAAGCTTTCAGGCACTTTGCCTTCCGTGACTATGTCCCCAACAATGGGGGATTTGGGCAGGGGACATTGGCTCCTAGATTCTAGAATGGCAAATGACCACTTGTGAGGGTTAGACCATTTGGGGAAACTGGTCCCTCTTTTTAACATCCCGTGCCTCTTTCTCATTTGCAGATCATGGCGTATCCAGTTTACGGCAGAGAAGTCAAGATTATATTGACGAACTGCAACTAGGATTCTGTTTCATGCTCCGCAGTTGTAGCCCTGGCTCTGAGACTCACAGTTCCACGTGTGGAAAGGAACCTTTATATAAACTGCAGTAATTCACTTTGTTCACAGTTTTTCTCAACAGTATGTTTATAGTGGTTAGAGAACATATTTCCGTCTTTTACCATAACTACACTGCACACATTTTAAAAGTACACAAGACTGTGCATGAAAATGTGCTGCCAGGGAAGTACAGTGCCATCCTCTTTGCCCATTGTACCCAGTTGGGTAGTTAAATTTTCACTTTGGGGATGGGGGTGAGGAGGTGGGGAGAAAACACACCTGACACCCACCTTTTTTCTTATAGCTGTTTTTTTCTGGTCCTTTCTGTCCCATTCTGTTTCTCAGCACCAACTCATATGTTAGCACCTTGCACATTTCCTTCACTATACAATTGGTAAATATTTTATTCATTTCTTGAGTTTAAAGACAAACTCTCTCCCCCATAAGAATGTCATCTTTTTAAGAGCAGGGATTATGTATGTCCTGCTAACAGCTGTTTTCTTAGAACTAGCAAAATGTTTAGCATGAGTTGTTACTCAATAAACATTTACCAAATGGATGAATGTGCAGCTCATCACATACGTAGTTTCCATGTATTAAACTGTTTTCAAGGGACACAATGGGTAGAATATCTAAGATGTATTCTCATTCCATAAAAAATTTGGTCAGCCCAGGTCCATCCAGCTCATTTGGGCATCACTCTGTGCACCAAAAGTTTGCAGGTTTGATTCTTGGTCAGGGCACATGCCCAGGTTTCGGGCTCGATCCCCGGTATGGGTGTGCAGGAGGCAGCTGATCGATGTTTCGCTCTCATATCAGTGTTTCTCTCTCTCTCTCCCTCCCTCTCCCTTCCCCTCTCTCTAAAACTCAATTAAAAAAATCTTAAAAAAGAAAAAGAAATTGGTCAAATCTTGAATCGTAAGTCAAGTTACAAATACAGTATACTTAGCTCTGGTTTATCGTCTATGTGAAGAATATGATATATAAATTGGTAGATAAAATATAAATTTTACAAGAATAAATAGTAAAAGTGATTTAAATTGTATATCAAATATAATTTTGAATGAAATACATTTATGTGCCCCCTCTGTTTCATAAACAAATCATTTAATGTTAATATCTGATAATTCATGAACCAGGTTGACCATCAAGGAATGCAACAGATCTCATTCTATAACCACTAAGTGCAATTTGCAAAAGAAAAAATTTTAAAGGCAATGTAGCTAAAAGGTGTACATTATGAAGTTTTAATTTTGTTTTCTTCAGATGGTTTATTTTATCAGTTTTAGATTTATAAGCCCTAGTAGCCTTTAAAAGGAATTTGAATAAAAGTACTTTTTTTTTTTAAGGAATTAACTCTATGTTTTTAAGTTTGAGTTTTGTTTCGAGCAGAGGGTAGGAGGGGATGATTCAAAACATTGCAGTATTTTCCTAATATTAAGGGGGAAATGTTGGAGGTTAATTATATATTAATTTTTATTTAGATGGTCCTATTGGTCTAGCTAAACGTGATCATCCAGAGTAGGTGCCCTAGAATAACTTGAATCCCTGGAGCACTTGAGATTAACATGCACACATAGGCACAATGTTTTAAACTGATTACTTGTTTTACTTTGGTCAGGTGGTGGTGTTCTCTTTGAAGCGCTGTTCTGTGTGCAAGCGAGATGTGGAACACTGCTCTCACTGTCTCCTGCCGACCGAGATTGGCACCATGAAGAAGTAAGGAAGCCAGAATTGGATCCACAGTTTCAAAGAAAACAGCCTAAGACACCAAGTCCAGTTCCTAAATAAGGCATATTAATACCTCTCAACTTCGCGTCCCTGACGGCATCCTTGGTCTGGGGTCTGTCCTGGTGACATGTGAGTCGTACATGGTAAGGGGCTTCTCTCTCCCTCCACCTTGAACAATAGTTTCTTTTAACAATTCTTAAGAGTGTCACTTTGCAATTAGAGATAAGGCTCTCATACCTAGAAAAGGTAACATTGTGACTTAAATTCACACTTGGATAGAATAATATCAGATTTCTTCTAGAGAGCACGTTTGGATGTGGAGCAGATGATAAGCTATCTCTATCACAAATGAGGATTATAAATTGTGGGCATTAAACTTAGACCAAGGGGGTAAAGACTAGAGGGGATTCTGATTAAAAAAATGAAAGCACACATTTTTAAAGATGTCACTAAAAGCCATCATAGTTGCTTTAAGATGTAGATGTGTTCAGCATTTGAGGAAACGAGTTCTATTAATGCAAAAGTGAAGGAACTTTGAACTACGTCAAGTGTAGATAGTTGATGCTCAAAACACAACTCTAAAAGGCATTGGGATGACCGTTGTCCTTAGAAACCCTAAAATTATCTAATACGAAAAAAAGTATAATGAGGTTATTGGAACCTCCAAAAAAGTGTTAGTGCAAGGAAAGAAAAAGATGATGAAGCTTTTTGAAGACACAACTCATGAAGAGAAAGGTCAACAGTAAACACAGGATAATAACCCATGAGGAGGAAAACCAAAATTGGTTATTTGACTTTGGAGGTGAAAACAGGGCAGACACGCCTAAAGATCTGTAACACCGATGGTTGGATTCTGCTGGAGATAACCATAGTCTAAAGCAGGGTGATGACAGGTTGCATCTCAAGGGGAATATTTGGTATATAAGCCAGTGCCAGTAGGAATATGATTCCATTTTTCCAATCCTGTGAAAAACTCGTGGAATTACATGTCCGGTGTTTGTGAGAAGCCTCAGCTCTTTGTAAACCGAAATCATTTCACAGTCCAGCAAAGTCTAATCATGTGTTTAAACAACCCGTATGGACTGAAGAAAAGAGAAGAAGGCATTACAGACAGAAAGTGGCAACCTAGGGAATTAAAAGCCGCACAGGGATAGAAATGGAGAGCCGTTTCCTGCTTGATAGCCCTGAAAGGGGGCCTGCGGTGTGGCAGAGGGCAATGAATCAAAGAAAGGTCATTTACAGGTAGTAAAGTCAAATGTCACCTCCAATTCTCATGACTTGTGGTTTAGAAAAAGGTTAGCTTAATATAGAGACTAGTGTGGCATTCTGAACTGTCTTAAGACAAGATATGTGAAATGATATAACACCATCAGTGTCTCTCCCCCTAGCAGTTATGTTCAAAAAGCTACTTAAAACTTGAGGTCATGGTGAGGTACTAGACACCTGGGAAAGTCCCACTTGGTAGACTAAGGATAGCATCAAAAGTCCTATAAACTATATTATAGAAACTGCCTCATGGAAGACGATTTTTGAAATACACCATTATTGAGAAGTAAATCCTATGCAGTATCTATAGCACTTTGATGACAGAACTGATTTCAGTGAAGTTGGAGCATCAGTGGGACTGAAAAAGCCATATATATCATCATCATTATAGGCACTTATTTTATGCCAGGCATTATGATCAGCACGTTACATGCATTACCTCATTGAACCCTCCTAGTCATTTTTAAGAGAGGTAATATAAGCACCATTTTCACATGAAGAAATTGAAGCTTGGAGATATTATTATCTTGTCCAGGGTCTCACAATGTCAGAGTTGGACTCAAAAGTGTGTGTTAAGTTCTAGAAAGCCCATATAATAGCCACCATGTTATACTGTGTCCTAAATAGCCAAGTATTAATCATACAAACCTGTTGCTGTAATTAAATCCAGCACTTTGTGTAACAAACTGTTGGGTAACATACCAATATTTAACCACTTGAAAGGAAAACTGAATGTCCAGTTTCTTCTAGAAGGTTAATCAAATGTTTTATCACACAGAACTCTGCCAAATCCAGTGCCTGTCTGTGTGTGGAACGTGACCTAGTTGATGTCTAATGCTTTAACATTAGATGGTCACCTGTGCCCACCTTGACCTCTTACGTCAAGTGAGTGACATCAGAGAACCACTGAGAGAGAATTAAATGATAACCACCCTATAAAGCATTGAGTAATAAGACAAAGAAATACAGACAAGAACTTAAAATTAAAATTCTGGACACCCAAACATATTTGCACTCTTGTTCGAAGGGCCTCATGTCTGATTCCTTGCTCTCAGAAACACAGGCATCATACTTCCCTGTTTTGTAAACTTCACCTGTATGTTGTGCAAAGAATGAATTGCTGATTTTCTGTGATGATGATTGTGATTTAAATGGATATGGGATTCTTAAATGACATTTTGGATTTCAAGAAACAGATTTTATTTCTGGTGGAGAGCCGCTCTCAGTTTGTAGTGAAGGTCAATATGTCCGTTTTCCTAGGATCCACTAAGTGAAGCCTGGGAAATTAGAACTTTCTTCTCAGTGTTGATTTACAAATGCAGGGAATACTGGAGTAGAGAAAACCGTACTGTTTTAGTTAGTTGTCTTCTTTCCCAGTTTGCATAGATATGGAAGTTACGCATTTCTTCTCTCATAGCGGATTTTTTTTTCTAAAAACAAAAAGCAGTAATACTTATGTCGGATACCAGAAATACTATTTATGAAGTTGATCAATGGCTTTGGGGGAACTTTGCTTTAGGGCATTTGAATAGCCTTCCCTAATAGATGAGCTTCCCCAAAGATCAGGAAATAGTCAACAGATAAAATGAACATAGGAACTGGTGTGTTTATAATATAGTCTTAAAAGTAATTTAACATTTCCTGATATTATGTTAGAGAATGAATACTCAACAGAAGACTGGTCAAATACTTAAGCAGTAGTCCTCTTTCTTCCTAATCTGACATAGAGGAGAGAGGGTGCCCCTCTCCCAAGTCTTTAGGAATACTGCCTTCAGAGGTCCTTCCTGACGCGGGGGTGGGCTCTGCAGTCTGTGAGGCCTGGCACCATGACACAGCCCGTCATACATAGAAGTCCCTGATCAACTCAGATCCAACACGAGCAACTTTGTGATATTTTCACTTTCCAAGTTATTTTCTTATGAAGAGAGGATACACTTGACAATTGTGTGGCTTTTTTCTTTATGAGGAAAAGATGTTTGGGGGGTGTTGTACAGCCATTTCTTAGGAGTTTGGACATTTTCAGTTGTCCACTTTGAGAACAATAGCGGACCTATGAACTTGAGCTTCTTTAACCCCTTGAGGCTAAAGGCCAGGCCCTGCACGGTGAAGCTCACTGAGGTCATGCCATTCTGTGCATGACCCTTGGCATCTGGCCAGATTTCTCCAGACCCTGGGGGGTATCATGACTCATTCTTTTGCCTGCTTGAGAACTTCAGTGAATCACCGACCTCAACCAAGCCGGCCTACTTAAGGAGACTCCTGAGGGACAGCAGCGTTTTCCAGAAAGTCTGTCTAAATGGAACCATTCAGAGGTCTGAGGAAAAGCAGACCAGAGGAGCAGGAAGGAAGAGTTAGCAACACATGCTGCCCGGAGAGAGAATAGCAGAAAACGGAGCCGAGTTGTTGAGGAGGGAAATGGGACGTGAGGGAGTGAAGGCTGTGGTATGTGCAGACACTAATTTCAATTTTATTAAGCTGTAAAAGGAGAGGCAGAAGCTAGTAGCTGGAGGACGACATGAGGTTGAGGGAATTTTGTTTCTAACATTTCCACATGTCTTAATGCTGATGAGAAGGTGTCAAGAGCAATTAAGATACTGAGTGTAGAAGAAAATTGGTGAAATGAGATCCCTGGGGGGACAGGGAAAAACGGATCTAGAGCACATGTGAAATGACTAGCCTCAGATAGGAGAGGGGATACCTCTTGTACTAAATACTAAAGAGAAAGCAAGAAAGGATGGGTACAAGTGCAAGTAAAGTTGACATGGGAAGTTGAGGAGGGTGTGCATAAGGTGTCGTTATTTCTTAGAGTAAAGGGGGAAATCACTGGATTGAACCTGTAAGAAGAGCTTGACGCAGTTGCTTTGAAGGAACTAAACAATATGGAAAAATTGATGGGCAGAATAGAGGTACCAGCTAAGGCTGGTGACCAACAGTAATTCTTTGATATTCTCGATACTATAACTGAACTCAGAGTCCAGCTTTAGTCTTGGAAAACATGACAGGATCCATCCAGGATAGAAATTTTTCCAGGTGGGGAGCAGGAAGACGTGGGATCAAAGAAGTTTAGTTTAATTGAATAAATTAAATTTCAGTAATGGACCAAGGAGTAAGCTCTGGAGAGAAGGATACTAGCTGATGGGTTACTGATGGATGGAGGAAAGCAGAGGGATATAGAGACTTTGGATCCCAGTGAGGTTAAAGAATTTGTCTAAGGAGGAATAGTCAGTGAGAGAAAGGAACGTATAGAGGACAGTGAATAAAAACTTGATATTTCTGATGGAGTACAAGATTCTAGGATCCTGACTAGAGGGTGGGAAATCATGGCATCTAGGAGTTGGATTATCAGAAAAGCTGTAAGTTAATCAGAAGATTATCTTGGGTCTTGAAGAACAGGAAGATACTGAACTAGTTGATGAAACCTTTGAAGAAAGAGTTCCTAATAAACATAAATAACAGCAAAAAGGAAGGGTAGTAACAGGTAGCAGGAAAAAAGGAGCATCAGAGGAACTGGTTTCATACAGAAGGGTAAATATTGTGAAAATCGGTTTGGGATTGTATAGGGTATGCTAACCCCATTTTCTAACCTCGAATCATAGAAAAATCAGTGGTTTTCACTTACTGTAAGCAGGGTGACCATACCATCTGGTTTGCCATTAACGATCCTGACATAATTGTTAATGGTACCGCCATTTACTCTTAAAAGTGTCCTGGTTTCTTTAAGCTCTATGTTCATCCCACTCTAAAGGGGAGTAGTGGCCTCAAGGAAGAGCTCTTTTATTTAGGAAATACATGTGTGTGTGTTTTAATAAATGAGAGGGTATAGGATGGATTTGCTTGCTCAATTGTTTTGCTTGAGAGAGGAGTTTCAAGGACTATAGTAAGAAAGGTTTGGGAGGGGCTGGAGCAGTGGGATGCTGAACCCGAGGAAAGGAGATAGCAAGCAGTGTGTGAACTGAGCGTGTGGGAGAGATGAGCTGACTTCACCCAGAGCTCCAGTCTGCCCTTTCCACCTTCCTACCAACTTGCTCCCTCCTTTAATCTGGAAGCAGATTGATAGTCATGCCTTCAGAGGTCAGATATGCCTATTATTATTTATATCTTTACACCGCAGCCAGAGATCGCAGCAGTTACTGTATTACAAGGTAAAAGATTCAAGTACGAGTCCCGTTCCTGCAGATCCGTGGCCATAAAATGGCTCCTAAATGGGATGATAGCCTCCTAACCTTTGCTTCCCCTTGCGCTTAGGTTTTCAGTGCTCTTCCTTCCAAGCTTTTTCTCTGCCAGCTCACCTCCATTACTTCCTTCAAAATTGGGGTAAGAAAACAAAGCAGCTTAAGCCTCTGGATCATATGAGAACTGGTTGATTCATGGAAGTCACTAGATATTGCCAAGCATTGTACACTGAGAGCTGATGACAGAAGGAATGGCTAAGTCAGATGGCGACAATGCCAAAAGCAAATGGGAATTGACAGCCTCACTAAAAGAAAAATATTCTTATGTCTCTAGTCACAGCCATAAGCTAAAACCCACCTTCAAAGACCAATGTAACTTGTAGCCACATTGGAATTGAAGATTCTTTTTTTAAAAAAAGAAATAGCCCGACCTCCACTGAACAGAGACATTCCCATTACAGCATCTTCAGAGGAGACCTTTATGCCAATGAAGTCATTTGTATTTAAGTCTGAAAATGTATGCTGCAATACAACTGAGGCATAAAGTTTATTGATGTAGCTTACAAAAATGTAGATAAAGCCATTTTCCTGAGCTATGGACATTCATCAGTCACCATGACAAATATAAGTTAAAATGAGTGATTTTCATTCACGTTCTAAAAATACTCAGTCCTATTTACAAATAGATTGTTCACAGGGACCCTGAAAGTAGTAAGCTTGCAGCATCAATTAAACATATGAATCACTTATTTAAAAATCTATACACAATTTTTCAGAAGTACCTCATGATAAGAAATCCTCTCTACCTAAAACCGTGGTTCACAAACTTGTTTTTCTTTTTCTGTGCCTAAGCTTTCCACATGTTTAATATAGTCCCATTTAGTTACATATTTCACTGCCTAAAAACATTCTAAGCTGGACTCACTCCCCCACCCCTAGATTCCCACTCCATCCTAGGGACTATCAGAGCATTGGAAGTGTTGTAGCTGCTTGAAAATAATTCTCTAGAACAGTGTTTTTCAAATGTCAGGTTGTAACCCATCAGTAGACTATATATTTAGTGTGTCATAACCAATATTTTTAAAAAATGAAATAGAATGGGATAGAGTATATCACATATAAAAGGGATAAATAAAAAGGTAAACCTTGATTTCACAGATACACATCTACCAGGTCATCATATAACATGTATTTTTATCCCCTATGGATAGCATAGTCAAAAAAAAAAAGATTGAAAGCCACCATTTAAGAAAATAGGTAAATTAATTGAGATGAATCACTTCACTGAAATACTATACAGCAGCTATAAATTACTACATATATCCACATGGATAAAATCTAAAATATTTATGTTGGGTGAAATAAGCCAACTGTAAAAGGATTCTTACATTAATTGTTAAAAACATTGACAACAATATTATGTATTATTTCCTTACATATGCATATGTAGTACAAGTACAATGAAAAGGAAAAGAAAGATACCGCTTCCAGAATAGGCATAACCCCGGGTGGAGAGGAAGAAGGCTGGGATGTACCTGCAACGTTTGGTTTCTTATCAAAATTCTGCAAGTCAGGAACTGTGGTTCTGCTTTACTCTGATTGATTTGTTTAATTTCTCTGGTCCTTATTTCTTCATATCTGGAATGAAAGGTAATATCAGAGAGTGATCAAACTGTCCAGCTAGAAGGAGAGGTGGAACTGTGTAACGAAGGTGTGTTCTAATCATACAACACTCAACCCAGAAAACTTAAATAATTTCTCAATGTTAAGCAGCTAGTTAATGGTAGAAGTTGGGCTAGATAGCAGCGAGTCACCCAGAATCACAGTCTTTCGTTTGCTACCATTACCTGCCTCTGATGACCGGTGGAGGGCATGGCATCGTTTTCTCTCGGGTGAAGTTAAGAGGTCACCATTATCATCGCACTCACCATGGGGAGTGGGCCTAGTGGACAACGGTTTTAGTGCACTGAAGGAAAGAACTGATGCTTTGCAAAGGCCACATTTAAATAAATCTGTGTATGCTTTTATTGTTAAATATTAAAAGAAGTTAAGACCACTGGTTTCGTGACCTTCCAGTTGGGTGAAGCCATGCCTTATCTTAACCGGTTAATGGGAGCCATGCCTGGTCTCCTGTAGTCCTTTTACATATAAATTGGACAGCAGGCTGGTGTTCTGTTCAGAGCTGATTTGTCGTCACTATTAGAAGTTGATTGTTGATTGATCCCCCGATACTTCCTAAAAGAATTTGCAGTTGCAGCAAATTCAGAGAACAATAAAACTATGTCAACGTAACAGAAGCCAAGAAGCAAAGGGGAAAGAAAAGGCATCACGAAGTTCTGGTTATGAAAGAGTCGCACTTGAGCACAACTCTTGGTTCTGAACTCACACCAACCAGGCGAAAGACCAACTGATCTAACTGTCTAGGAAGCCTGTGAAACGAGCCATCAGTCCAAACTCAGACACAGAATTTCCCAGCTCGGTGCCCCGAGAGGCCTTGGACCCAGGTGCTACTGACAGAAGTGTCCTTGGCGCCACAGTGGCTCAGAGCCCTCAGCCCAGAGGCCTAGGGGTTCAACTCCCAGCTGCATCACTTCATTCTCATTTCACAGTTGGGCGAATTTCTTACTCTCTCTGTTTCCTCATCTGTTAAAAGTGTATAGTAATGATAGAATTTACCTGCTGAGGTTTTTTTAAATTAAGTAAGGATTAAGTGAGTTAATATTTGTAACTGATCAAGGCTGAGAACAGCCCTAAACCCTGGTTAGGGTTATATTGTGTTTCTTTAATAAATTAAGCAACCAAATATTCTGAAAAGCAGTTATGCAAGGAACATTCATTGATTAGTGTGACTGCAGTTGTACAGTTAATTATTGTAGTGTCGTAAAAGCTGACCATTGCTTCATACCTTATTTTTCTACTGACTTCTTTCCTACTTTTTAAAACATTTTTCTGTTTTTTAAAAAAGAAAAATAAACATATTCTCTCCCACATGGACTGGAATACCCCTTTCTTATGGTTGCTCTTCAAAATGTAATCCTCCTAATACAATAGGCCAGATTCAGATTTTTTTTTATACAGATCTCAGCCAACTTGTAAGTTAGAGCATCTGTGTCACTACCGAGAAAACCTTACATAGGAGCAAACAGCTAAATTAACCCACTCTCATGAGGGGTGCAAGGTGTACAGTGATTTGCAAACTAAGATGTCTCTCCCAGGGTTGGTTGGTTCACCCTCATTAGGAGTCCTTAAAATAAAAAATTTTGACTTAAAGCATTTTTTAATGAAATCAAAGATACCAAAAAAAAAACCCCCACCCTAATTATAAACAAAACCTTTGTATATGAAAAGACAACATATTCTATCACCATTATAAGCAGCTTTAGTTCTGTTGACTCATTAAATCACATTTTATGGTATTTGCACCCCTGAACTATCATTGCTACCATACATTATAAATACAGGCTTTGGAATTCCATTTAGCTTAACTTAGTATCTGCTATCTACATCAATAGTGTTTTCATTTAGCTCACAATAAAATATATTTTTTCATTTATGTATATCTTATCTGCCTTACAATCTTAGAGGAATTTTAGAGAAAGACTGGGTCATTATTTTTTATAAGGTTCTTATTTCTTAACACAGTGATTTACACAGATTTAATACTATCTTTGTTAAAAATATATATATCATAGAAATGGAATCCTTCATCAATAAAGTAGTATAAAATAGTCCAATGCTGTGTAGTCATTCATTCATTAAAAAGCCCTTTAATGCATTTTCTGTCGCTTTTTTTATTTTCAAATAACTATGCTATTTTCTTTATTTAGGCCTTCATCCTTTGTCTAAATCAACTAAACTAGTATTGTCTTTTGCACTTATTAAAGAAGCATTTCTTTGGTTTCTCCTAAATCTTTGTAGTGTTTATAAAAAGCCTGTCTCTTAAGTGTTTTTAGCCCTACTTTTTAGAAGTTATATCGTCATAGTATTTCAGTTCTCACTGTACACCTCAAACACTGGCGTCTCTTCAGAGTACTGTCTTCATATTATGTACTTTAAAAAAGTGATTTGAGGGAGCAGTAGAGGGGAGTGGAGGCGGGTACAGGGGCGATAAATGGTGATGGATGGAGACCTGACTTGGGGTGGTGAACAGATGATGTGTTGTGAAATTGTGCACCTGAAACCAGTACAATTTTGTTAACCAGTCACCCCAATACATTCATTAGAGAGGAGAAAAAAGGATTTGTCATTAGAAACAACCCATCTGGGCTCCAGCCTGGAATTTAAAAAAGAAAAGTTTAAATAGAACGTAGCAAAGGAGCAGAATGAGACAGAGGGTTGTCCAAACACTCCCATAAATCTCAGTCCCCTTCATCACTCATTTCAAGGACTGGAGTGTTCTAATTTATGTAATCTTTTGCCCCAAGGGCTTTTCATCAGATAAACGGAATTCTTCCACCCTCCAAAAAAATAAAATAGAAAATAGAATAAAAAGCATATAACTTCAATATGATTGCAGAACTAAAATGAGGCTTAAGACTAGCTTTCAGAAATATCTGTTACTTATTCTCAGTGATTTTTAGACTAGAGAACCTTGTGAACTTTTAATTTTTACTCTTTATTTGTTTTCCTATGTAATTCTAGTGTTTTGCATTTCTCAATGAAATTGACATGTTAAATTTTCATTAGAATGAAAATGAATAATTAGTTTGGACATTAAATTGAAAGTAAAATTAAACGTATATGCTACCACTTAATAGTAATGCAGAATTATAGCCCAGTGTATCTTAGTCCTGTGTCTTATGTTAAATTATGGACAATTTAAAAGATTGTTCAGTAGTAGATTTCTTTAGAAGTATTTAGGAATTGTCAGAATTGTTAGTTTATCTCCTTTCCACTCAGTTCACTTAGCTATGTAAGACTTCCAAATTTTTATTGACAAATTTGTGTTGCAAGTGAGATGGAGAGTTTTGCTTCTTTTTCCTGCAGGGAGTGAGAACTTTATTAAAATTAATTTTATTTTATTATTTAAACCTTGATAAATTCTAAGAAATATCTGAGGATGGGTGGGTGATATTTGAGAATATGAAGAATTAACTTAGGAGGGTATCATCAAATGAGCATCAAAGTTTAGGATTAAGTTACAGTGATGCAATGGAAGCATTGTAATATATTTTGACACAACCCATTTGTTTAACATATTGTTTATCTGTGCATTTCAGAAGGTCACAGTCATAAACTTGGAATATCCTCTTTAAAAATCTCTAATAATTGAAGTAAAAGTAATTGTGATGTGAAATAATAAAATTGTAAAAAAAAAAATACTATAACTTGCAGATTATTGTTACTGAGCTTTGATTCTTTACCAGAAGTTGATATGTTGCTATCCATCTCCATGGACAGAATAATGTGTTTTAGAAAAATTATCCAATTCATCTTATCATAAAAGCCAAAAGATCTTTTCAACAGAATTAATAAATTATTGCTTAGATTTATTTTTAACGAAGCAATTTTATCAAGCTTTATCTAGCTAAGTACAATAACAACAATAGAGGGAAAATCGGAATCTCTCTCATTACCTGCATCTATAATTGTGCAAGCATAAAGTATGCTTGGAGCCTTTGAAAGGAGAGATTGTGCAACCTGAATACTAATTCTGTGAGTACTGTAATTTCACGTCTGCTATCCATGTTCAAGCTGGTTGTGCTTTGAGGAGCAGCTGAATCTTTATGGAAAACTTTGTAAAACATTCTATTTAGAAGCAATTCTTTACATTATGTGCTCTGGGTATTTTTCTTTTGTGTTTTATTTCGAGAACATTTGTATGAAAACAACATCTTTGTTTCTTATAAGCACATCTGCTCTTGCTTCTTGTAGATGATGGGAAGTCATCATCCTCTGTGACATCATAATCATTTCCATGGCAACCAGTTTGGCTTACTCTTTCTGAAACTGTAATAAAAAGTTACAGAATGTCAGCAGCGGCAAAGTGTTTATCTCAAAACAGATGCATAATAACTCCCCAGTTTTCTGTACCACTGCATGTGGCCTCTTCATTTCAAAGCACCAAACCTTTAGCCTAATACAGCCAATTCCCTTAAAAATCATGAGATTGTCAATTCTAATCATCTGCAATTTAGAGAAGGGATAGAATTGTTGAGGAAACAAATTCTGAGTGAGCAATCTTACGGTACCTCTGTGCAGTCACATAGCTTGCCCAGTGTAAGTTCAATGAGCGAAGAGAGATATGAGACCTTGGTGTTTTATGTTTTTCAGTAAATAATGACATAGATTTGCTTATTTTATTTTTAAATTTATCTTTATTGTTGAGAGTATCACAGGTATCCCATTTTTCCCCCCAATTGATCCCCTCCACCTCGCTCCCACCCCCTCCCCAGGCCTTCACTCTGTCATTGTCTGTGTCCATGGGTTATGCATATATGCATATAACTTCTTTGGTTAATCTCTTCCCACCCTCCACCCCCTTCCCTCTTTCCTCTGAAATATGATCATCTGTTGCAGCATCAATGTCCCTTGATCTATTTAGTTCATCAGATTCTTTTGTTCATTAGCTTCTTCTTAAAGAAGACCCTTTAACTTTTCCTGTAGTGCTGGTCTGGTGGTGATGAACTCCTTTAGCTTTTCGTTGTCTGTGAAGTTCCTTATCTGACCTTCAATTCTAAAGGATAGCTTTCCTGGGTAGAGCAATCTTGATTGTAGTTCCATGTTTTTCATCACTTTGAATATTTCTTGCCACTCCCTTCTGGCCTGCAAGGTTTCTATTGAGAAATCAGCTGACAGTCATATGGGTGCGCCCTTGTAGGTAACTAACTGCTTTTTCTCTTGCTGCTTTTTGTCTTTAACCTTTGGCATTTTAATTATGATGTGTATTGCTGTGGGTCTCTTTGGGTTCCTCTTGTTTGGGACCCTCTGTGCTTCCTGGACTTGTAAGT